CACCAAATAATGATATCAGCAACCAAGTCATCTACCACAGTAATCCATCCATCTAACTATGCAAATCAAGCATAAATAATTGATGCAATAATTAAGGTCCTCTTAATCCCCACACACCTTAATTTAGCCGATTCCAAGTCGGGAATTAAGTTCTAAAATTCCATAAATTGACTCTATAAAATTCTCCTCGTTCCCACGGTCGTGTAGGCGCAAACGGTTCGTCGTTTGGACGTCAAACGAAGAAACTGCGAGCCGATTACTAATTAGTACGACAAATTACATAACAGTACTCTATATTTTCGAACTGTCTGGAACAGTTCCAGAACTTGAAAATCGTACAATTATACGCACAAACTTTCGAACCTCGTTTCTCCCTCGTTTGAGCTCGGAATTCAATTCCGTCGACTCCGTGATGCTCCTGGCGACAAGCTCTACGCATCAGTACCAATCGTTTTAATTATCGTTGCAGTTGATGATGCGGACGCCGAGGTCGGGATTATTTCGATGAAGCTCCGATGCGCTCTAACGAACTCCAAACGTTATTTCAGCTCCATCAAAGGGTTTCTGGGCGTTCGGTGGCCTATCCCAGACCTTTAAATGCTGTTAGTTCCCTCTGGTTTCCTTTCTCTCTTTCTCTCACTCTTTTCTTTCTTTCCTTCTACTTGTGGATGTCAAAATCGACGAGGAGAAGGGAGCTTTAAACTACCGTACGTTCAGCCTCCCTCTCTCTCACTCCTATCCGCTGCACTAGCATTAAATCCCTGCTGGAAGGCCGCCTTCTAACTTGCAGGTTTGAAGAGAGTGCCTTCCGCCTCCCGAAGCCGGCTGCCGCTTGAAATCCGTAGCTCGCCACGTCCTGGAAGTGTTCGACAATGTGTCAAGACTACTGGCTCTTTAATTGAAATGACGACATCAAAGTTTTGGCTGGCTGGTTGTATACAACAGGGATGCAACTAACGCTCTTAAGTAGAACTGGGCAACTAATTGCACAGGAATTCGTTTGTTGTCTAGCGAATACTATGTTTGTCTCTAAATCTTCTTATATACAATAAGTTAATGGTTCAAATCATCTAACCAATGGTTATTATTGTTTTCCCGAAGCATCTACTCCCGTCGATGACGTAAACTTAACGATGTGGAGTCCACGTAGAAAAATTTGTAGGAGTTTTATTTTCCTCTTTCAAATTTATTTTATATAAATATATTTTTTTAGTCTGGTTTGGGATGTTACACTTTGTTTGTGAGTATTTATCGAGTCAAGTTCATCAACATGGAAAAGTTTCACTCAAATCGAGTTTCAGACAAATAAATATCCCCACATACGCTTCCCATCACAATTAGCCTTCTTTATTTTACCTCTTTGTTCTTCCTCTCTACTGATTTTATGTCATCCAGAAAAATAAGTGGAGTTGAGAATAAACCCAACCAAACATCTTGAACTTACAATATGATCGATTTCTCATATTGCCCATCAACACTTATTCATCCAACCCTCTATGTTATGATAACCTACTACCTACATAATTTAGAATTGAATTGGATTTGACAAATACATTGTTCTAGTTTTCCGTCTTTGGTATCTCCCCAACCTTCAATGTAAACAAACTGCAAGACTTTCAAATGCAAGGCCTACAAAACATTGATAATCTGTCGGTTTCAAAGAAATCCAATTGCGTTTGCCCTATTTTAATACCCTTTTTGTCCCAACCCTATGTGAGAGAGTTGTAATCGAGTTTCCAACACCACTGTTCCTAGAATATGACAACACTATATAATGATTACTATTAGTTTATTACATTAGAAGATTAGTGGGGAAATCACCACTAATCACTGTCTCTAGATCATTGCTTATGTGTTAGATCCAATGGTGGGTCATAGGTGCCAAAACAGAACCCGACCCGAGTAACCCGCCTGTTTAACCCGATCCGCAACTGGCCCGCAATTCGAATTGACTTAAAGTCAATGACCCGTAACCTGCCCGACCCGCAACCCGACTAGCCCGCAACCCGATTGGCCCGCAACCCGACTGACCCGCAACCCGATTAAACCCGAACCTGATTGACCCATAACCCGATTGACCCGAACCCGACTAACCCGAACCCGCCCGATTGATCCGAATAATTGCTATATTATATAATATATAGTCTTTCAAAATGAAATTTTTGGTTCTAAACCAAGGCAAAATCATTTTTCCATTTCTCTAGGTGATGTTCAAAATCTAAAATTCACTTAAAATGATGTAGTTTTAATAAAATTACAAAAATTAAAACATGAAATTCAGTTGAACATTAAGTTCATCTTGCAAATTACAATTATGTGCAATGTATTGAAAACTTGGAGTTCTAGTCGGTTAAATGAAAGTGTGTCGGCTAGCAATCTTTTACTGGTAAAATAATTTTTTTCTTAGATAAAAATAAATTAACTTTAGTTGATATAATTTAACAAACCGTATTAAATCTCTGAACAAACTCTTAAAAAAATTATTTGATTCTCTAAGTAGCAGTAGCTGTAGCTTTGATCATTACACTTTGAGAGTATGAAACAATACAAATGGGTCAATTATACATCCAAAAGTGATAGAAAATACAATATAATGCAAATCAATTTGCTATAAACATCCATTTACACCAAGAACATTCTCAACAACAAGCATCAAAAGTTGTTTGACATATTAAAATGGAGACCCTCATTGTCATTACCTATATTATTAGCAAATCTACATCGATCGCCTTCTTGAATAATTCTCTACAAATCTACAAAATTAATCTGGTATAACTTAAGGGAACTATTAATGGGAAGCTCTATGTGAAGTTCATTCATCTATCTACTCGAGAAGTAGCAACAACAACTTCAACAAAGAAAATTCCCTCATCTTCCTTTGTATATGCAAAAAAGAGGCAGCAACTGTAATTTATCAAACCTCAACACAGAACAACAGGCAATTAAAAAGTATTTCATATTGGTTCAAACAAAAAGTAAAAGTGGACTAATAGAACAGGACACAAGGATTAATTTCTCTTCATAAAGGGAAGCCAAAATCAACCAAATAAATCAATCATAGCTAATTTCAGAATACAATATAAACACTCGCCAATCTGCATATCTAAAGCCACAATTACCCGAGGACAATAGAAAGTAGTTACACAAACAATAGAAAACCACAACACCACCAGACTCACCATTACCACAAACAGAGATCCAATTTATATCGTGCTGCATCAGCAAGGACAACATGTGCAAGGGCGGTAGCACCGTAGCAGCAGTAACCTGACCCCAAGAGACCCTTCCCTTCTCACCTCCAATCTCATTAAGAAGGACGAGCTCACGGTATTTCCATGTTCCTCTTTGAGATCAAAATTCCCAACAAAAAAAAAAATCAAGCCAACAGTTAAAATAAAAATCCATGTTCTGCAAATTGAAATCAAGAAAGAAAATCCTAAATAAAAGACGATCCTTACCTATAAGAAACCGTCAGTTCTCATTTCATCGTCGTCATCGCGGTCTGAGACGCTTCGCCTCCATCTCCAATGACTGCTATCTCTTTCTTGTCCCCTAGATCGATGCCTTTTTGGGGTCGTTTAGGGTTTTCAGGGCAGGGGGTAATCTTTGCTCTATGTCCAGACAGGAGATTCCGAGGCGGAGGTGGTCATGGTTGTCGCATGGATGGAGCAGTGGGGCAAAGTTATGTTTGGGCCACTTGTGAGAAGAGGAGATGAGGCTCGGATCAGGGAGAAGACAGTAAGGCTTGATTTTATTTTCTAGATATGTGAATCGAGAAGCAAAGAACGAGAGAGGGATGGTTTAAGGTTTTGGCCCTTTTGGGTCATTAAGAGTGAAGGAAGAAGTAAAAGCAGGAAGTTTTCATTCTCAACTAGAGCAAAATGAGAGGATGGAAATTGAAGAGGGAGGTGGCTAGGGCAAGTGAGAGTGACCTACTAGCCTCTCAATTTTAGAAGAATACGATATGGAGGGAATATTTTCACTTTTGGAGGGAGGAGGAAATTTTCAGAGTATTGCATCCGCGGGCAGAAGTAAATTTTGAGTGGGACTGAAAAGTGTGGGGTTAATTGCAAGGTTGGTCACTGGATTTACTAAAAACGTTCATGTTTGGTCACTGCAAATATTTAATTCCATTCATGGTCACTAAGATTAGTTCAATAGTTCAAATTTGGTCACTCTCCGTTAGTCTCCGTTAGTTTTTGCTGATGTGGCAGTCAACTATTATAGTTGACCGTTAAATGAGTGACGTGGCCATTAAAAAATATTAAAATAATAAAATTTAAATATTTACAATTGCCACATCATTTTACAACTACTAAAAAATAAAAATAAAACGTAATTCCTATTATTCTATAAAGACCTAAACCTACTTGAAAGCACTCCTCTGAATTTTCTTCTTGCCTATTTCGCTTCCGATTCCTCTGGGTTTCCCCTTGCTCCTTCCCTCCCTCCCAAATTTCTCTTCTCTGCGCTCGCTCCTCCAAATTTCGATTCCGATCAATTTCCCATTTCCCTTCCCCCAAAACCCTAGAGCTAGAACTGAGCGGGCGACGACCATTTCCGGCGAATCGAAAGAAGAGAAGGAAGCGAGGCTTCTGCTGGCTTCTGCTGCTGCTCTCTTTCTCTTTGATTTCATCATCTCGTTTTCTTTGGGATTTCTGGTTTAGGGCTCTGTAAGTGTCGTAGTTTCTCTTTGCCGTCGGCCTCATCCTCCCCTGCTGCTGCTCGAGAACTGCTTGCTAGTAGTGACATATTAACATCATCAATCATTGCCATGGCAGGGGCAGCTAGGAAGAAGGCAATGGAGACGCTGGGGAAGAGCATGACCGAGGAAGTGCAGAGATGGGGTTGCATGAAGCAGAACGGGGTGAGCTTGCGCTACATGATGGAATTCGGTTCGAAGCCATCCCTTCGCAACCTCCTGATCTCTGCTCAGTTACTACATATTTCCTGGCTACTTATTCCCTTCCATATCAGCACTTTCATTTGTTTGTTGGATATGGAAGGACTCGATCACAACTCAAAAGCTCGGTTCAGGGCTGAATGGGCTTGGAATTGGCTCGTTTGGGTTGGATTGGTCCACTGTTGCCGGGTTTGTGGGAAGTCCTCTAGCCACCCCATTGTTTGCCATTCTCAATACCATGGCCGGATTCTTCATTTCCGTTTATGTCATTTTGCCTATTGCTTACTGGAACAATGCATACGAAGCGAGGAGGTTCCCCATGCTTTCACAAGAGACTTTTGACAGTTCTGGTCAAACTTACAACATCACGAGGATTCTTAACGAAAAAGAATTTGACATCAATTTCGGTAAATATGAAAGATACAGCAAACTCTATCTCAGCTTCACTTTTGCTTTCAACTTTGGAATCAGTTTTGCAGCTCTAATGGCGACTTTCACACATGTGGCACTTTTCGACGGAAAGTAATTAAGCACCTATCTAATTTAAACTCTTAACTTACTCCATTTTTTCTTGAACTGAAGGATTACCCTTGTACTTTTAGGTGAAGTGGCGGCGATGGAGGAGGAGAAAGGGTAGATTTAGGTGTTTATACTTTATAGAATAATAGGAATTAAGTTTTATTTTTATTTTTTAGTAGTTGTAAAATGATGTGGCAATTGTAAACATTTAAATTTTATTATTTTAATACTTTTAATGGCCACGTCACTCATTTAACGGTCAACTATAATAGTTGACTGCCACATCAGCAAAAACTAACAGAGACTAATGGAGAGTGACCAAATTTGAACTATTGAACTAATCTTAGTGACCATGAATGGAATTAAATATTTGCAGTGACCAAACATGAACGTTTTTAGTAAACCCAGTGACCAACCTTGCAATTAACCCGAAAAGTGTGAGAGGTAAAACCCCCCAAAATAAAATACATTTTCATTTAGTGTTGGTTAACACTTTTTTTCTTCTATTGAATCAGTTTCTCCTTTTATTAATATCAAAAGAGACCATTTGCAAAACACAAATGGCCAACCGATACAACGAAGGAAAGCTCGAGGTGAGCAGCCCTGTAAATCAGAAAATTGTATAAAGACCAACTTCTACCACACTCCCCACCCCAGCCTACCAGCGACTACAAAACTCCCCTACAAACCAAGCATTTGCAAACCTTCTAACAAAAGTGCATTATCACTACATATAATCCGCAATTCAGCAACAATATCCCGAACCAAAACTTCCTCTATTTTCCTGGCATTTCCATAAACTCGCCGGCATCTTTCTCTCCAGATCCCTGCACAGCACATACACCAGATCAAACTGGTCAATCTCCCCAGCTTCGGTCTTCTGCAATTGGCAAGGCCTGCAGCAACAATGGCTTCCCAGGTGCTACAACAGAGCCCTCCCATTTGCAATGCCTGCACAACTCGACTAGAGAATTCACATTTAAAGAACAAATGTGCTCTAGTTTCTACATCAGTCTCACACAACACACACAACCCATTAGCTTGCTTGCCCAACTACAGCAGCTTTTGCTTAGTGACAATGCAATCCATCATGATCATCCATGCTAGAAAGCTATTCCTAGGAACATAATTCTTCCCCCAAATGAGTCTTGCCCAACTTACCTCCTCAAACTTGTTTCTCAAGGTGTTCCAGACTACTGACACTTTAAACACAGGCATAGGCTTATCGTCCCAGTAAATTTGAGAGTTTCTGGTCACAAGTAAAGATTGGATCTGAGGGCGAATCTTGAGAATGCGCCTCCAAGCCTAGGAACTGCTCTGACTGGCTGGAACAGTCCTTAAGCTTCGATCTTTTACCTTGTACTGCTGAAACCATGCCACCCAGATAGCCCCACTCTTCATTAAGAACAGCTAGAGAAATCTAACTGTGCATGCCTTATTCCAGGAATTTAGTTCACGCAATCCTAGACCACCCTCCACTCGAGGCCTTGCCATCCTTTCCCAGCTCACTTTTGCACGACCATCTTCTCCCCCATGCCAGAGAAACCTTGAACACACCATTTGGACCTGCTTGATCACTCTTTTTGGCAAAATAAAGATCTGCATCCAATACTGAAGAGTGCCCATCAATACTGACGATACCAGTTGCAATCTTCCTGCATAGCTAAGCTTCTTTGATCTCCAGGAGTTAATCTTTTTAGTAATTATAGCTATCAGCTTGTCAGTCTCACTAGAAGGAAATTTTCCTGAGATTAGAGGCATGCCCAGGTATCTTACAGGTAAATCACCCTCTGCAAAACCTGACAATTTCAAAGCATTCTGCTTAAATTGCACAGACTTCCCTCCAAAATACACCTCACATTTCCTTGGATTGCACTTAAGACCAGAAATAGTATGAAATTCCTTCAATATCCACTGAACCCTTTGAATAGCCTGCCCTGAGCCCTCTGTGAAAATTAGAAGATCATCAGCAAAACATAAGTGGGCTAACCCCACTTTTTTGCACTGAGGATGGAAAGCCAGGGTTCCTTCTGTTGCAGCTCGATTCAGGAGAAGAAAGAGTCCCTCCATTGCAATAGTAAATAGATAAGGTGAGAGGGGATCCCCCTGCCTCACCCCCCTCTGTGCTCCAAAGAATCCACACAACCCACCATTTATACAAATACTGAACTTGGCTGTTTTAACACAAATCCTAATCCAGTAAATAAACTTCTGGGGAAATCCCATCACTTCCATCATTAGAAACAGATAACCCTAGTGAACTGAATCAAACACTTTCATGAGGTCAACTTTGATTGCACAACGGGAAGACAGATTACTTTTATGGTAGCCACTCACAAGTTCTTGTGCCATTAGAATATTATCAACTATTCTCCTCTCCTCAATAAAAGCAGATTGATTTCCACTAACCACACTAGCAAGAACATTCCTCAGCCTATTTGCTAACAGCTTTGCAATAATTTTGTAAATGATATTCACACAGGAGATTGGCCTAAATTCTTTTAGCCTACAGGCAGAAGCAACCTTTGGTATCAAGGACACTGCAGTAGAGTTAATACTACTAGGAAGTTTACCTGAGTTGAAGAACTCCAGGATCCCAGCAGTGACAACCTCACCTACAATCCCCCATGTACGCTTATAAAAACCAGCCGAAAATCCATCAGGGCCAGGGGCTCGATGAATATTCATGCTAAATACCACTTTCCTTACATCATCAGCTGTGAAGCCTTGACATAGGAAGTCCCTCTGCTCAGCATTCAATCTGTGCTTCATCAGCAATTTTGTCCATCTCCACTACCTCCTCACCTCCCTCGAGCACTAGCTTCCTTATAGCCCTTCTAGCAGTTTTGATCTTAACTGATTGATGAAAGAATCTGGTACCTTGGTCCCCAAGCTTCAAATAGTTTACCCGAGATTTCTGCCAGTAAAAACTCTCTTCATCTTTTTTCAGTTGTACAAGATGTGTGTTTAGGGAATCAACCTTAGCAAAATTATCACCAGATGGATTTAACAGTGCCAACTCCTGAGCATCAAGCAATTGCCCTCCAACTGATCTCACCTGCCCACTAATATCATTATAGACTTCTTTATTTAACCTCTTCAGCCCCTTCTTGACAGCATTAAGTTTAGCTTTAACAACCAACAGAGGGGCTCCTTGAGCTGGTGTAGCCCAACCTTCCTCTACAATTTTGTGAAAGTCAGGGTGATCAGCCCAGAGCTCAAAGTATTTAAAAGGTTTAGGCAAAGTCTTGTGCCCTGGTTTTGTATCAATATACACACCACAATGATCTGAGTAAGCCCCTACCAATATATAAATAGCACAACTAGGGAAAACATCAAACCAAGCTTCATTAACTAGCCCCCGATCGAGTTTCCTGGCAATAGGGTTATCTCTTTGTCTGTTCGTCCAAGTAAAGAAAGGACCACTCGACCTATGATCAACCAATTCCATATCATCCACCCACCCTTTGAAATCCAGCATACAGCTGCTAACCATAGTCACATTAGAAGTCTCCGCAGGGGACAAAACAGAGTTAAAATCCCCTCCAACAATCCAAGGAGCCGAAATTACCTTAAATCTAGCCAAGTCTCTATAGGTTTCTCGCCTTTCTATCTCATCATTCGATGCATAAACTGCAGTAATAAAACAACTAGCCCCACTAGATTCCCTGGCCACACAATGCACATAGTTCTTCCTGGGTGCAAGCACTCGAAATTCAATATCTGATTCCCAGAACAGCCAAATTCTACCTAAGTCACTATCAACATAGTTGAGATGTTTCTTCCAACCAAAACAGAAATTCAAAACAGTTTCCTCAGATTTCGCTTTTCTAACCCTTATTTCAAGTATTGCCACCACATCCACCTTGTACTTCCTCAGGACTTGTGAGAAGTCCCTTCTCTTAGCACCTTCATCCTGGGGAGGATTGAGACCCTCCACCCTTTCTACCACCTTTTTTAGGAGCAGCTTGCAACTGAGTTATTTCCCTATCTCCTAACCCCTGTAATGCAGCAAAAGCTTGAGTCGTTTGCAGCACACTAGTGGGACTAGGAATAGGCGACCAACATTGAGGCTTAGCTCCATTCACCACCCTTTGAAACTCATCCTCTGTTGGCAGCTGTGGCGAGCTGCATTCAGCAACTGACTGGAAGGTATGTTCCAAGTTTATACCCACACAGTTTGATCCAATCATTAAGCTAGAATGACGAGGAGAGCCTGCAGATACAACACTCTTCCCCTTATCAACCATGACTGGACTACCACTATTATGTTCAGAGCTAGTCTTAGGATCAACACCCCCAGTCTTCTTCCTTACCCAGATTGCTCCACTTCCCTATTTTCCTGATTACCTTTATTTCTCAGAGCACAAGCCTGCTTACCACACCCACAGTTGAGACCAAATGAATGGCAATGGTCACATATAGGAGCCAGTTGGCTATAAGCCACACCCACCTTGATTGAACGATCCTCAGTTGGCCATAGAAGGATATGATCCGGAAACTCACCCGACGCTGTCAGCTCTACCAGAGCCTTTGCACAACCGAGTCGACCACCCATCCTCGTAGTGTGATCAACCCCCAGTGGGATCCCAAGCCAGCTACCCATTCGACTCAAACCTTGAAAATTAACATACTCCAGCGGCACATTGGTGAATCTAACCCAGATCGGCAGAGCCTTAGTCCCCAAATCTTCAACATCAATCCCCGGGGTCCATGGTCGAAGATATAGCATATTGTCTGAATAGAACCACGACCCGCTCTCCAGGATCCAATCACATGTCTCCTGAGTTGGTAGCTGAACAAGGAGCAATTGATTTCCAAGCAGGGATACACGAACAATGACATCTCGTCCCCATAGTTTGTTCGCCCAACGTCTAAGCTCCGGCAGAGAAGGCAGACTGGGATGGAGAAATTGGCCGACCAAACTGTGTTTCCATCGGGCTGCTCCTTCATCACTAACAATCTGCGGCATTCCAATTCCTCCGTTGAAAGCCTCCGACGGTATGT